AGTTTCACAGTTGAATAGGAACAAAAGCTTTAACTAGAATCCAGCCTTGGAAGATTAGCTAGGTCTGGGTAATAAGTTGAAATATTTAAAAGGGTTATAGGAAATACAACGCTGCAGAGTGACCATAACCACTTGGTGTGGGAATTATAGTAGCTGTGAAGCAAGTGGTGCTCAGGATAACACCTAAGACCTGAGATGGATGGAGTAGTCACTGTGCGTTTGCACCATCGCTAGCAGGTGATGCAGAGCTGTAATACTGCCTGGCCCCATTGCTGAAGGACGTTTGTTTTGAAAATGAAATTAGTCATCCTAAAGTAGGCAAATACGGTCCCCTTGGGAATGTGAGTTTAGTCCTTGCCCTGCAATGCAGAGGCTGCAGGTCTGTTCAGTAATTTAACAGTAGTTAAGCAGAGGGTGAATTAATGGTTTCCCAGCGCCTTCTCTGTAGTAGATGCAGACTTTCACGTTTGATACGAGGGAGCTGGGGGGATTGGAGGATGCTAAGAGAGCTAGAGTGGGTCTTACTGGGGATGGAGTTGATTCAGAAACAGCCAGGAAGACAACATGTTTCTAGGTAGATGAGGTGGTAAGTGGTAAGCTGGGTCAGAGAAGTGGAATTGTGCTGAGGAAAGTGCTCTCTAACACCATTTGAGAAAGAGAAATACTCTTTATCCTGTTTTGCCCTGCACAAAAGTGTCCTTGGTGAGTTAATCTGAAAAGGTGAGTAGGTGGAAGGAGGAGGAACAACATTTTATTTCCCTTGCAAAATGTGTGTCTCAACTGCATGTCCTGCTCTGGGACAGATTTTATGAATTTACAGTTTATGAATTTGCAGTAGGGTCTGCGAGAGCAGGAGAAGTTTCGGGGCTTTTGGAGAATGGTACTGATGCACCTGGAATCCCAAGTAGCTTTTGAGATAGAGAAATACTCAGTTTTTTAGCCCTGTAAGGTTAGTTTTCTTCCTTCTGGCCTAAAAAGCCTTTTGCATAAGCTCAGGAGAGTGAATATTTGTTTGCTTTGGGTTTTTTGGTTGGTTGGTTGTTTGTGTGGGTTTTTTTTTTTTTGAAAGTTGACCTAGTTGTCTTTATGACCCAGGCAGGCTCCATGGCTCCAGAGTCCAGACTCACGCTGCGAGACCTTATAGGTGTATGTTTAGGTTGCTGGCAAAGCCTCGTGAGCTTTCTGAGTCATTTCGCAGCTTGAGGAGGCAGCAGTGGGTAGGAAAGTGCGCTCCGTGTCACAAGGACAAGTTTAACCTGCATGTGGCAATTTCAGCGGTGCCGCTTTGTTCGCGCCTGGCCTACAACAGAAGTGCCTCATCGATGTCGCTGCTTCTCGTTACTGGTTGAAGTGATTGACTGTGATTAACTGAGCAGGATCAGCTCACTGCCAATGCAGTTTCTAATCGTGAGGAATGATAAATTCAACTTCCTCACAAACTGAAACAAGTTTGGCTCTAACCCTAGTACAAGGGGTCAAAAAGTTGCATTTACTTTGCAGGCAATTAATGTTTCTCACCTGATTTAGAAACCTTCTGGTGTTCTTGGACTCCAACCCGTTGCCTTTTTGCAGTGCAGATTTTTCTTCAAACCTTAAATCCAAACTGCCTGATTCTGTGCCAGTGGATTGGGCTGCAACTCGGTGTCTGTGGAGAGCGGGGTATGTGTTTGCAGGGCTGGGTGGATGGGTGCTAGAAGAGACTGTAAAATCCAGGATGTGCCGTAGGGATGAGCACACCAGACGCTTCTGACTGTGCTGTGAAGGCTGTCTAGCCCTGGGTGACAGTGACACTCCGGAAATTAGACCATTTTGCATGTACAGATGTCTGGGAAGTGCTCTGCGCTCTTCTGGCACTGTGCTTGGGAGAGACGGGCGTTTGCATGGGAGAGGGGATGGAAGTCTTGCCTACTTTTGGAAAAACAGTACCTGAGTCCATCACTGGCTCAGCTGTGCTGGGGGCAGCGGTGGAGGCTGTATGGCACCTCAGTGTTGAAAACTCAGTGTTTCTTCCAGGTCAATCTGGTTTTCCTATCAGTGCTGCCAGAGTTCCTGCCTTCCCCCTCTGCCCAAACCCTCACTTCCAAGTCCCAGAGCTTTTCCTACAAAATACAGCTAAATAGGTAGGGTGGGAATAAGCGACTGCTGAATCACTGCCCGGGTGCCTGCCTGCCAGTGCCTTGTTACCTGCCTTTCTCCTGCCTCTGTCTCCGCCGGGTATGCTTGGAATAACTCTGTTTCCCTGCAATCCCTGTGCATGACCTCCCAGCCCGAGGGCTAATTTCTGCTTGCTTTCTCCTCCTCCCCTCCCCAAGCTAAACCAGCCCCCTCCATGCCCACCCCAGGTCCTTCCCTGGGTTCCCTGGCTTCCTTGTCATAGTCTCTTGGACTGTATCTAGCTGTGCTGCTCCTTCTTCTTGTGCCATGTTACTGGAGGGGTTAGAATAAAGGGGTTTGGAAACCTGAAGGGTGATCTCTTTTTTTAATTCTCCCAGTTGTACTGAATTTGGTGAGAGCTGCTCTGGCTGCTCTGCACAGTAGTGGGTGCAGGTCAGTCATTGAAGCTTGGGTCTGTTGTTGATGAAGAGATGTGATTTATATTGACTTCTCCCTCAGACGGATGGACAAGTCTCTTTTAAAGGTACACATTGCCTTTTTGCGAAAGAGAATTTAGTGTGTGTAATATAAAACGCCAAAGAAATTTCAGGCCAGTTCTTAGCTCCGATCCCAAATTGATGTTCCTTCGACGTTGCCATGACTGCGACAGAGTGACTCATCCCGTTATGGTTAGCAATTTGCTTGTCTTACAAAGTCACTGGGGAAATAATTTTTCCATATCTATACGTACCAAGGCTGTAAGGTTTGCTCTAGCAAACAAGACAAATAATATTTCCTGGTAATAGGAGCAGCCAACTGGAAAATGAGACCAACAGATTCTATTCTTAGTTCCGTCATTAACCTTGGACATTTTCTTTAACTTAGCTGGAGCTCTCCTTAGCTGTCTGTAAAGCAGAAAAAGTTATAAATACAGGAGATGGTTTCAGTAAGTAATTAAAATTCTGACGTTTAAAGTGGTTCAGAAGTGTAAAATGTTCATAACACCTTCCAGAACTGCTTAAGGAGAGTCCCAGTGTGCAAATACAGGTTGTTAGGTGAATGCATGTGAGCTGGGAATAGCGAACGCTCTCGAGAGGCAGGTTATTTCCCTTAGGAAGGGCAATCAGTCGCATAATTTTTATTAAGAATTCCCTCT